ATCAGAGGCTGATTCCAGGAAGCCCGGGGCAGAGCAACTCTGCCTCGGGCTTCCTGTAGTCAGCCGCAGGTCAGTTTCAGCAGCGGCTGAATCTGGATGCCAGTTCCGACTTACATACAGATTCAATTTAAGAACAAACTTACAGTCCCTATCTTGTACATAACCCGGGGACTGCCTGTAGTAAGGGAATGTCTACACTAGTAAGAAGACTGACCCTCCAGAGTTCGATCTTCTAGCATTCAATGTAGTGGATCTAATGATTATGGAGCATATCTTTGTGACTTCGATAAAAAAAATAGATATCCTCTTCTGATATTAAAGCAGGTTGGTTAATCACAACCCTTTCTTGGCAATTTATTCCAATGCTTAACCACCCTGACGGTTAGGAAGTTTTTACTATTGTCCAACTTAAATCTCTCTAGCTGCAATTTAAGTTCATTGCTTCTTGGCTTATCATCAGAGGTTAAAGAGAATACATTTTTCTCCTTCCTCCTTGTAACAATCTTTTAGGTACTTGAAAGCAGTTATGTTCCCTCTCAGTTTTCTCTTTTCCAAACTAAACAAACCCAGTTCTTTCAGCCTTTCCTCATAGATTATGTTTTCTAGTCCTTTAATAATTTGTGTTGCTCTACTGTGGTCCGTCTCCAATTTATCCATATCTTTCCTGAAATGCAGTTCCCAGAACTGGACACTGTACTCCAAATGAGGCCTAATCAGCATAGAACAGAGTAAATTACTTCTTGTGTTTTGCTTACAACACTCCTGCTAATACACCCCAGAATTATGTTTGCTTTTTTTGCATGTTTCACACTGTTGATTCCTATTTAGTTTGTGGTCCACTCTAACCCCTAGATCCCTTTCTGCAGTACTCCCTCCTAGGCCGTCATTTCCTATTTTGTAAGTGGAGGACTTTGCATTTGTTCTTACTGAATTTCACCCTATTCCTCAGACCATTTCTCCAATTCATCCAGATCTTTTTGAATTATAATCCTATCCCCCCAAAGTAGTGGTTCCCAACCTTTTCTATGCCGCAGACTGGCAAACCCATTCATAAACTTTTGGCGGACCAGTAACATTTTATTTGCATATTCATTATCTACAATTTTTACAGACTACTAAAAAATTTACTAGCAGGGGGAATGCGTGTAGTCTATAGCATTACCTGAAAAGCTTTTGCTTATCGGTTAATCAACTACACCATTATATCCTTGGGCTTTTGGTTGATCATGGGTACAATATAGGAGGGAGGGATAGCTCAGTGATTTGAGCATTAGCCTGCTTAAACCCGGGGTTGCGAGCTCAATCCTTGAGGGGGCCATTTAGGGATCTGGGGCAAATCTGTCAGGGATGGTACTTGGTCCTGCCGTGAGGGCAGGGGACTGGACTTGATGACCTCTTGAGGTCCCTTCCAGCTATGAGATAGGTATATCTCCATTTTATTTATTGTATATTTTGACAATGCCTAAATGCATATAAATACATGCTATGCAATGCATTGCACAGTGGTCTTACCATTGCACAGTTACCAGCTCCGTCTCACATGTGAGAAGGACTCAAAGAGTAAGGAGGACAGTTTAGCATGGTGGCTGGAGCAGCAACAGTGGAGTAGCATCTTTGTTACAGTAAATTTTTGACCCCAGCTCCACAGAAACTCCCCAGTGTATGGCACTGTTTGGTGAAGGGTTTAAGCCAGAAGAAATTTAGGCATTTACCTTGATCCCAACGAGCAGTTCCTGAATACCTGTGGTTTTTGCCTTTTCTACATAAGCTATTGTTTCCATCATTTCTTCTGTGGTCTCAGGAACTTTCAATGCACGTTTTTTAACTGTTTCAAATTCCATGCATATCCTGTAAAATAATGTGTCAAAGTTTAATAGGTTTGTTAGCTTGGCTTCTAACTAGGCCATAAAACCAACATTACACTTATGACAACTACCAAGCATTCCTGGAACTGTAGTTCAAATTATCTCTTTAAATCACTGGGACCAGTTTATCCCTGCTATAACTTCATGAATTCCATGTGACAGTGAATTTGCCCAATTAACTGTAAAAGGCATACAAGTGTCTTTACTTTTACTCTTTTAGTAACTCTTAAAGCATGTGTTATATACCTGTTGAAAAAAAAAATTAATACATAGACATTTGAGCCTACCAGCTCTGATGGAAAGGTTGGGCTAGTGCTAGAATTAGGGCCTGAAGTCCAGCGAAGACACATGAACCAACACAACTCCCCTGAGATACTACAGACTTTGAGTTAACCAGGAGTTTTGGTTAATCAAGGGTGCAAAGTATTGTATATATTTATACAATGTCTATACAACCCAAATGCAACTATGTTACATAACAGACTTTTCCAAGAAAGAAGTGATATATAACAAGAAAGTGTACTCACTTTTCATTTTCCTTTCTGTGTTTAGTAGCTATTTTCTCCAATAGTTCATTTGCAAAGCTTTTTGCTTTATCAGTCAAACCCTGTTTCAAATCATCACAGTCCAAACGCACCATAGGGAAATGAGCTAGTAGTGGCAAACTCATTATTTCCTTAGCAAGACTGTGGAACTCATCTATAAACTTCAAAATGACATTTATACATATTAAATTGCAAAAAAAAAAAAAAAAAGAATAAGATGTATAAATTATTTTAAGAAGCTTTAAAAAGTAATACTTTATTCTGATAACCAAATTTATTCTGAAAAAATTTCACTTGTGGATACTCAAAAATGTTTTTATGAGTAAATTGCTGTCACTTGTTTTTCTCAATTCAGTTTTTAATTATTATGTAATTATTTAATTATTTCAGATACAAAATGTAGAATTAAAACTTACAGCAGTATATTCATCAAAACTGTGATCTTCTGCTTCAAAGCTCTCTATTCGTGTGTCTGCTGTACCATCTACAAGCCAACCATACCTTTCAACTGTAATGTAACAATCACATTGAAAGCACAATGCATGAACATAAAAGTAGAGTATTTCACCAAATTCACTTCAAGTAATAACATTCTCCTATAAAATACAGACTTAGGTTACTTACCATATCTTTCAAAATGTTCTTTTGGACCTTCCAAGTTGGCCAGGATTGCTCTCTTCAGTGTAGATGAGGCCCAAGCTATGACATGGTCAGCAAGTTCAGTGTCAAGAGTTACAGCGGTGGCCCCTCCAGCTAGCCAAGAATGTATTGTTTGAACATTCTAACAGAAACACAAAAGGACAATTAAGTTAAAATAAGTACAAGAACAACAACACAAGATGTAGGTACTGTGCCCATTGGAATCCGGGAGGTGGGCGGGCGTTAGCCCATCCACATCTAAAGGATCTCCCCCCAGCCTATGACGGTAGAAAACTCTACTGAGCCCAGGAAACCAAGTAATTACTTGGGACAAATAAAAGGAAAACAGGGACGGGTGTGTAGGTCAAAGAGCTAAACCAAGGGAAGCGGATGGGGACACCGAGCAGAGAACGCCGGACAGTGCCCACTGCCCCTTGAAGGTCTCGAGAGAGCCAGCGGACGCCGCCCAGTGGAACTCTGCCTGGATACGTGAGCGGATGCAGGAACGGAAATAGGCCCCACAGTCGCAGGCCCCTCCCTCGGCCAACCTCTGCTCCCTGGTCTTATAAATTACCATCTTGGCGGTAGCCAGGAGGAAGTTGACCAGGAGGTCCCGTGACTTTGTGGGGCCTTGGATGGTGTGTGCATAAATTAACAGGTGAGGGGAGAAGTGGACCCAGAACCTCAACAAAAGGTTCTGGAGGGGCCGAAAGAGGGGCTGTAACCTGATGCACCCAAGGTACACATGCGCCAGATTCTCTCTCTCGCCACAGAAGGGGCAAGTGTCGGGAATGCGGGTGAACTGTGCCAAATACACGCCCGTGCTCACAGCTCCGTGCAGGATTCTCCAGCTGATGTCCCCGGTGGGCCGCGGAACCAAGGTGAAATAGAGACTGTCCCACTGGGGCTCTCCACCCTCTATTGGTGGTAGGAGGTTCCGCCACTTGGTGTCTGGGCGGGACATGAGGGTGGGGAAGTGGAGCGTGTGAAGCACGAGCGTGTACAGGTGACTCTTTGGCACGGTTCGAAAGGAAACTGGCTGCAACGTGTGCAGCTGGTTCAGGTGACGAAGGGGAGGCAGTCGGGGAGGTACGCGGGGCTTAGGGCCAATGGATAGATCGGGCAGGCTGGGGGTGAGGGGCGGGCAGCGTGCACCCTCTTGCAGGACCATGTCGAGATAAAGTATGAGCTGGGGAGTACGTAGGGTGGAGAGCCCCATGCGCTGGGCGAGCGCCCGAGGATCCACCCAGTCTCCCCGGTCATAGTCCAGGAGGTCTCTGATCCTTGTCACTTCTGCCAGGACCAACCTCCAGCGCAACAAGGAGGACTTCGCGGCTTGCACACGTAGATGGGGATTGTGTCGCAGGGGCTCTGCAAGGAGGTCTGCCCCCACGGTGGCTCCCAAGGACCTGGTTGCCTCTAGCAGTTTCCAGGCCCGGAGGACATCCTGGTAGAAGGCCGGCAGCTTGGAGAAGTCTCGCAGAAGACCTCTCAAATAAAGGAGCTGCCGGTCATATCGGAGCCCTCGGAAGTGGCGAAGGAAAGCGTGCGCCAGCGTACACCACGCCGGACTACCTGCATCAAATAGGAGCCTCTGCAGGGCCTGGAGGTGGAGAACACGAACCCACATGCAGCTCGTTCTAGTTCCGAATATTGGTGGAGCATGGGCACCACGAGCCCATACAACTCGCTGCCCATGCCTCTGCTGGCTAGCTGGTTCTTTATCTTTCAGAGGGTAGCTGCTGGATCTGATCCAGGAAACCTGGGGGCGGGACCAGGGTGTTGAGACGGTGCCAGAGCATGGACAGGATTAGTTGATTAAGCATCAGTACCCTCCCATGCAGGGAGAAGCACTGGAGCAGTCCTGTCCATCTCCGCAATAGCTCAGCCACCCCGGACTCTAAACCTTGCCAGTTCTCCGGCGAAGAGGGATGCGTGGCAGAGAGAAAAACGCTGAGATAGAGCAGCAGACCCGCACTCCACCTGATGGCCTGAAGCAAGGGTGGGAGGGAGCTCGCCTGCCACCCGGACCCTACCACCAGGCCAGAGCTCTTGACCCAGTTGACCCAGGCGGAGGAGGCCGCTGAGTAGATGGCTTGGCAGGCCTTCACCCGCGCCAGGTCTCCTGGGTCCTGGACCACGAGGAGCATGTCGTCGGCATACGCCAACAGAACCAGCCACATCTCCAGCTCACGGAGCACCAACCCCATCAACCTCTTGCAAAGGAGACGGAGAAAGGGCTCAATGGCCAGAGTATGCAGTTGGCCTGACAGAGGGCAGCCTTGATGTACTCCCCACCCAAAGCTGATGGGTGCGGTCAGGGTACAGTTGAGCTTGACCAAACACTCTGCAGAAGCGTACAGTACCTGGAGAAAGCCCACAAAGCTGGAACTTCAGCCTTAGAGAGAGAGCTTTGGTGACGATTTTATAGTCCGTGCTGAGGAGCGAGATGGGATGCCAATTCCTCAGATCGCGGAGGTTCCCCTTCTTGGGCAGCAAGGTGAGCATGGCTGCACAATAAAGGGAGGACCCTGCTCTCGAAGGACTCGGCCCAGACGCTAGCAAGGTTTGGGCCAAGGACGTCCCAAAACACGCGATAGAACTCCACGGTCAGCCCATCCATGCCTGGGGATTTATTGGTGGGCATGAGATGGAGGGCTTCCGAGAACTCAGACAGAAAGAGAGGCAGCTTTAGCCGGTCCCGGTCGCCCACGCTGACCGTCGGAAGTTCGTTCCAGAGAACCCTGTGGGCGTCGGTGTCAGTCGGATCTGGGGAGAAGAGAGAGGCGTAGAAGGCACGAGCCCTCTCGCGAATCTCCACCGGATCTGTGAGGGGGGTGCGGTCCTCTGCCAGAAGGCAGACTATGTGTCTTTTAGCCCCCCTCTTTTTCTCCAGGGCATAGAAGAAGTGGGAACCTTGATCCATCTCCCGAATGAGATGGATATGAGAACGAACAAAGGCACCCCAGGCTCGAAGGTCCTCGAGGGCCCGGAGTTCCTCCTGCTTCTCCCGGTACGCTCCGCAGAGGGGCGGATCCTCGGGGCCGGGGGCCAGCCGCCTCTCTAGCTCTAAAACCTCCCGTTCCAACTGCTCTATCGCCGCCCCCCTCCGCCAGCTGGCCCCCAGGTGTAGTCCCGGCAGAAGAACCGCGTGCACACCTTCCCCACATCCCACCACTGCCGTGCTGAGGGAACGGCGCACCACCGCCCTCGCCAGGCCAGCCAGAACTCCCAGAAGGATGCTATGAAACCCACGTCCTCCAACAGGCTGTTATTGAAATGCCAATAGGCCGGCCCCAACCTCTCCAAAGTAAGAGAGGCTGTCACGGCCACCAAGTGGTGGGAGTGATGGTCTATTATCTCCCTGAGGACGTCGTGGCGGCCGGGCACTGCTCGAGCCCCATACAGTCCTGGTCCTTGAGGGTGCAATTGAAGTCTCCACCCAGAACCAGGCACTCTCGAGGATCCAAAGAGCCGAGGAAGGCAGACGCCCGCTGATCGAAGCGGAGCCTCTCCGAGACGGACGATGGGGCGTAGATGTTGAGAAGATTTAGTATCAGCCCCTCTATCCGAACCCGGAGATGCAGCAGGCGACCCTGCACGACCTCTGCAGTTGATGGTCTATTATCTCCCTGAGGACGTCGTGGCGGCCGGGCACTGCTCGAGCCCCATACAGTCCTGGTCCTTGAGGGTGCAATTGAAGTCTCCACCCAGAACCAGGCACTCTCCACCCCAGCTTGACAGGCTGACAGGTGGCTAAAATAAACCCTGTGCCCTCACTCCAGCTGCCAGCTAGCCTCGGTGGCTGGAGCTGTGTGGGTCTCTTGTAGGAATATGATAGAGTATCCCCCCCTTCCAAAGGAAGGAGAGTACCTGACACTTACCCGACCTGCAGCCCCGGGTGTTTAGAGTGGCAAAGATGAGCAGCGGCATCGAGAGGGCTGGGGAAGATCCTCATTGGCAGGAGTGCCAGTGGCCCCCATTGGGCCTCGCAGCAAACTGTGACCGTGCCCAAAAGTGAGCAGGGTGTCACAGAAGCTGCGGACCCGCTGGTAAGCTCTGGCCTCCCGCCGCCCGGTCCCTTTACCCTCCCCCAAGAGGGCCCTTACTGTTTGTAGGGCGAGATGAAAATCTCCCCAGAGCTGAAGGGCGAGAGCGACTTTGTTCTTGGAGCCACGGATGTCTTCCAAGAAAGCACGCATCTCGCCCTTCAGCGCATCTGGCATCGGGGCCTCGGGCCCTCGAATGCCTTGGGGCCAGACCCCTCCATGAGCCCCATGACCCATTGACATGGAGATGCAGGGCGTCTGAGGTCCCTGCTGGGAGGACAGTGGCGGAGGGAGACCAGCCCCAGATGTGCTGGGAGCAGGAGAAACGAAAACCACCTCCTGGAGGCCAACATCTGGGCTAAACGTGGCAACCCCAGGAGCGGCAGTAACAGAGTAAGGGGAGGAAAAGAGTTCAGGGAGGGGATCAGGAAAAGGAGGGAAACGAGGAAGGGAAGTAGGGGGAGGAAGAGGTGAGGGATTGGGGAAAAGACAAGGATGGGGGGGAGGAGGAAGAGGGGTGGGAATCTCAGTTGGGAGGGGGTTTGAACAGGGAGCAGGAGAAAGAACAGGGCGAGAAGCCCCAGCAGAGGGGGCACCGGGATGCGGTGCTTCCTCGCAGCCCAGAGGAAGGGGACCCAGGACTGACAGAGGCCTTCCGAGGGTGGAGAGGAAAGGCAGTAGAGCGGCATTGGGGAGGAACGGAGGACAAAACCACTCGTACACCCAGGTCCTCCAAAGGCTCGAGGGGAACGTGGACTCCCCCCACCGCCAAACCCCTTTCCACCGCCTCCTGGGTGGGGCCCTCGGACGCCAGGAAGAATACCACCTTCCCGAACATCCTAGAGGCCGCCACCACGGCCGCGGGCCCCACCACGCGTGCCAACGCCCGCACGTAGGTCTCCACGTGGGGCGAGGCCGCCACCAAGAGACAAAGGACCCCGTGCCTCCTGGTCAGGGTGGGAAAGGGGCCGCGGCTGCCGGGGATGGTATTCCTGGAGGTGGATTGGGAGGCGGCAAGTGGAAGGGTGGCGGCTACCTGGGCGTATGCCCTGGAGCCCGGGACACCGTTGCCCCCAGAGCTGGTGGAAGGAAC